ACAGGCCAGAGATGTGGGGGGTGAGAGAACTCACCAGAGACAGAGTGAGGAACAGAACAGGCAGACTGACTAAAATATACTGCTGAGGAGAGCAGTGGGTGAGACAGGAGAGGTCTGCTGTGCCATGTGGGTTTCTCCCTGGCCGGCCAGGGATCGAACTTGAGAAGCAGAGGCTGTGGATTGCTTCATAGCGTGGTGCTTAACCCCTTGCACCACCAGGGAGGCCCTCTAATGCATGTTATATCCCATAATAAAGAATTGTTCAGTCCGAAATGCCAATAGCATTGTTGTTGAGAAACAATTAGCTTCACATTTTTGAACTCAAAATGCTTCAAATATGTTTAGTTAAAACTCTTTCCGATGTTCATACAATTAGATCATTTTTGTTTTCTAATGGATAGACAATAACCTTGTAAACTGATTTCAAGTCAGGAAAAATTTCAATTTTCACACCTCATTTCTCCAAATGTTGCCTTTCTCTGTCACCAGTTCAAAGCTTTCCTTCCTTTCTTTCTCCAATTCCTTCTATTATGGCCCATTTCCTTAGACTAAATAATTGAAGAAGTGACCAGAAGCAAACACAGTGAGCACATTTAAAATTTAGATATGGGCCTCCCCGGTGGCGCAGCGGTTGAGAGCTGGGTTGCGAAACTGAGCGCGGCCTCTGCGGCGCCGGTTCGATCCCCAGCTGCTCCCCGGCCGCCGGAGGAGGATCCCACATGGCGCGCAAACCTCTCCTGCCGCCCGCTGCTCCCCTCAGCAGTGTACTTCGGTCCTTCTGCCTGCTCTGCTCCCCGCTCTGGCTCTGGTGAATTCTCTCACCCTCCCGCGCTTCTGACTGTACCCAGTGCATGTATAAACAAAACAAACAAACCAGCAAACAAATAAATAAAGCATGCCTCTATAAAAAAACAAACAAACAAACAAAAAAAAAACAAAAAAAAAAATAAAATTTAGATAGAATTTGTCTTTTTGTGAGATTACTATTTCATTTCCTAGACTTGGATAACTTTATTTTAAACATTGGTAGGCTCTAGGCAGATGGGACCCCAGCTTATTCTTACAGTTTTGAAGTGAATCATGTTTTAGATTACTTAGAGAGGCTGAGATGACTAATTCATTTCCAGTGGAATGTAAATTAAGGTAAGAAATTAGGATAAGTAAAATGTGTGATTTACCTTAAAAAAAAAAAAAACTGATACTTTTTCAGTATTGCTCTATTGAAGTTTTTTAATTTAATTACACCCCAGAATGATACTGGCATACATATCTTGACTAGAGATGGCATAAAAATTACTTCATAATTGGCACTTTTAAGTACAAGGATAAAACATATATTGTGTGGAACTTAGGAGTGTTCAAAGTATTTTGTGAAATAATATTCAAGCTCTGCCTCTAAATTCATAACACTATAAATTTCCAAAGATAACAGAATATAAAAAGTATAAGAAGCAACTGAAACAGAAAATGTAAATAATCATAGATGTTGGCTTTTTTTGGTTTGGTTTGGCTAGAGGTCCAAAAATCTTTCTCTAACAGAAAGTGCTTACTTAGGAATCACAGATGTAAAGCTCTTTAGCAAGTCTAATCTTATAAGAAATGAAATACAGAGACTTACTACAATTTCCCCACCTTTAGAACACTTAGTATTTAGTGTGGAACCTCTGACATCCAGCAAAATACCCAGTACATAGAAGACATCCAAAAAAACACCTGTTGGGCCTCCCCTGGTGGTGCAGGTGGTTGAGCACAGTGCTGTGAAGCTGTCTGCAGCCTCTGCAGCGCCGGTTTGATCCTGGCCTGCCGGCGAGGGTCCCACACGGCACGGTAGACCTCTCCTGTCATGCCCGCTGCTCCCCTCAGCAGTGTATTTCGTCAGTCTGCCTGTTCTGATCCCCGCACTGTCTCTGGTGAATACTCTCACCCTCCCGCAAATCTGGCCTGCACCTCGGTTCTTGTAAAAATAAATAAATAAATCTTTAAAAAAAAACAAAAACAAAAACAAAAAACAAAACAAAAAAAACACCTGTTAAGTGAATTCAAATGAATGGATACATATTCACATTAAAAAAATCAACCAAAGTCTCCTTTTGCAGCACACACTCCTATGTGGCTCTTACCTATCTAGCAGCTCATTATGTCTTTCCAATTTCCTGGTGCCTGCATAATCTGTTGTCACATCTAATAACAAACATGCCAAAGTAAACTTGTGTTCCTCCTACCTGGACCTGATCTTCTTTGTTTCCTATTTGTCTCCAATCACAAACCTCCCACTCACCTATTCCCCATTTTCTTCCTTGACAAATATATTCCCTTTCTCACCTTACAGATTGAGTTGACATTCAGTCTGTTCTGTTTCTATTAAAGTTTTCCCTCCCCCTCCAGGTTCCTGCTCCAATTGTCCTCAGCCTCCACTCGTTTCTGCTTGGGTCAGTGAATAAGCCCCTCTCTACTCTTACCAATCTATTCCTAGTGTGGGTGAGTGTCCCCAAAATGGTCAGACAGGCTTTTTGTATAGACCCAGCGGAGGCCTCTTGTCACCTTGATATGGGAACCAGAGGTCAATCAAGACCAAGGGAGCCTTGGAAGCTCTGTTACTGTTACATTAAAAAAACAAAAACAAAAACGGATTGTTTTATGTGAAGAGTAGGGGCCAGGAGAGTGCAAGGTTAAGAGAAGCTTCTATTCTGGTTGAAATCCTTCAACCCTTCCGGATTGATGAAGAGACCATCTTGTCCTAAGTTTCTGCCCTTTTCGTAATCAAAGGAGCAATCATTGCTTTCCCTTTCATGAGCCAGAAGTCTGTAGTTTGGGGGTCTTGGCCAGTTCTCCATTAATCAGTAAACATGTTCTCTGTAAGGGTGAGGTTACACCTCCTCCTTAACTTTCCTGGGAAGTCTCCCCCTCTCTGTTCTTCATGCCCCAGGACCCAAAACATAGGATACATATTCCTGGTCTGCTCCATTATTCTTTAGAGTTGACAATCATGTAAATCCTCCATAGTATATTATTGTTTTTCCTTTCCTCCATGTTGTTTTGATTACTAGTCCAGTTGGAGAGGAACCCAAGGGGATATAGGGTGATTTGTTCTGTATCCAGGCAGTGACCTTATTGCTTGATTATACCTCCCACCACTGCCGTACGCCCAACCTTCTCCAAAAAAAGAACCCCGTTAAGCATAATGGTTAAGAGATTAGATTCTTTTTTTTTAAAGATTTATTTTTTATTTATACAATAGCTGGGCTACAGGCCAGAGGCATAGGAGGGTGAAAGGATTCACCAGAGACAGAGCTGGGAGCAGAATAGGCAGACAGATCGAAAGCACTGCTGAGGGGAGCAGCAGGCTAGACAGGAGAGGTCTGCCTGGCCATGTGAGAATCTCCCTGGCCAGCCTGGAATCCAACCAGTGCTGCAGAGGCTGCAGACAGCTTCACAGTGTGGCACTCAACCCGGGGAGGCCCCAAGAGATTAGATTCTGACTCAGGTATGCCCTAGGTTATAGTGATCAGGTGCTTAGACTCTGGAGACAAACCACCTGGTTTACAGTTGGTCATTCAATGGCTGCCTTCTTTCCCAACCTCATTTCCCACTTTGTAGTCAAGCCCAAACACCTCCCTCTAAAGCTCACCTAGTTTGAAAGGCTACTCACCTTGCCACTCCCCTGAAATAATTCTTCCCTGCTTTGGAACTGCCCTAGAACAGCACCTGTACTTCTCACTACTACTTTTATACAAATTACTTGTGAGCTTATAATATTTTTAAAAAATTCTCTTAGGAAAAACAAATTTGTCGAGGGAAGGATTTATGATGTTTTCTTTTTGTCTCCAATTCATCATATATGACTTGCACATTGTGGTAGCTTGAGAAATATTAGGTGACTGCATCAATTTACAGAAGTAAATCCTACTACGATCATCTGCCCTTCTGAACTGTTTCTGTTTAGTTAAAATCGTAGAAATCTGTATTAAAACGGGTAAAAGCAATGCATGTAAATTAAGCCTTTAAAAATCTGACCTAATGAGAACCCCAGAGAACTTTTGCTTGTGCTTTACAAGTGCCAAATAATCAGCATACTGGAAATTATAACCTAGAGCCTCCCCAGTAGCAGAGCGTGTGAGCCCTGCGCTGTGAAGCTGTCTGCAACCTCTGCAGTGCAGGCTTGATTCCCGGCAGGCCAGTGAGATACCCACATGACACGGCAGACCTCTCGGGTCTTGCTCGCTGCTCCCTTCAGCAGTGTCTTTGGTGCGTCTGCCTGTTCCGCTCTGTCTCTGGTGAATTCTCTCACCCTCCCGCAACTCTGGCTTGTACCCCAGTTCTCGTATAAATAAATAAATAAATCCTGAGGAAAAAAAAAAAAAAAAAGAAATTATAGGGCCTCCCAGGTGGCGCAGCGGTTGAGCGCTGGGTTGTGAAGCTGCCTGCAGCCTCTGCTGCGCTGGTTCGATCCCCGGCTGCTCCCCGGCCATCGGAGGAGGGTCCCACATGACGCACAGACCTCTCCTGCCGCCCGCTGCTCCCCTCAGCAGTGTATTTCGGTCCTTCTGCCTGCTCTGCTCCCCGCTCTGGCTCTGGTGAATTCTCTCACCCTCCCGTGCTTCTGACTGTACCCAGTGCTTGTATAAATAAATAAATAAACCTTAAAAAAAGTTATACCCCAGAACATTTAAAAATAGTTCTTTATGTATTTGTTGCAAAAATAACAAATGCACTGTGACGCAAAGTTTGTCCTACACAATGTATTGCTTCTTCACCTTCAATTTTACTCAACCGTGCGTTTTCCCTCGGCTGGCACCGCTCCCAGCATCAAGATACTGGATCCTAATTTGGAGAACCGCGCCGGGCCCAGATGGGACGGCCCGGAACCCGCCCACTCCGCCCACCCCGCCCACCCCGCCCACCCACTGACCCGCAGCGCGCCCGCAGCTCCGGGACTCGCGGCCCCGCCCTCGGCGCGTCGGGCCCCAGGTGCCAGGGCGCACGCGCGGGGCTCTCCGGGGCGCGCGCGGCGCGGCCGTCCCTTCCCCCCTCGTCACAGCGCGCGCCTGGAACCCGTCGCCGCCGCTGCCTGGGCCGCCGCGGCCGGTTGTCGTCATGAGTTCTCCGTGGGATGAGCTGACCCTTGCCTTTTCTCGCACGTCTATGTTCCCCTTTTTTGACATCGCCCACTACCTGGTGTCCGTGATGGCGCTGAAGCACCAGCCGGGTGAGTGCGGGGCGCCGCGGGCCCGCACCCCCAGAGTCCCTCGAGCGTGGCCTGAGCCGGGCGGGCGGCCGGGCTGCCGCCGGCTCTGAGACTGTGGTCGCGCTGGAGGGGCTCCAGCAGCCGGCTCGTCCGACCCTAGAGTACAAACGGGGAGACTGAGGCCAGGAACGGGGTGGCCCCGGTACTCTTCGAAGGGGGCGCGGCCGCTTTTCCCGGGCGCCGTCCGGGACCTGCCGGCGGTGCCTCCACTTCTCGGAAGGGACTTCACAGGCACCCGGGGCGCAGCTCCGGGAGACCTTGGTCTGACTTAGTCGCCTGGAGTAAGGAAAGGCTGAGGACTGCCCTCCACGTGTGGGAGCTGCGTAAACGCTTCAAAAGCCTCAGGTTCGATCACCCGTGACCCCCTGAACTGGGGGTTCTGCCACCTTGCTCAGCTGTTAGATTGAATCCTGAAGACTCCCGTTCCCTGGCGTCTGAGTGGCAGGCCCGGGGCAGTCACTTGACAGTTTCACTCTGTAGAATGGGGCGAGTGTCCTAATACAGCAGCTTGAGATCGTTTAAGAAAACCTTCAAGGAGCGGTGTTTGTGGTTTCCTGTCTTTCACGTTAGCGTGCTTTACTTTTGAGATTTTTTTTGCCTGCCTTTTGGTTTCATCCACCTGCTCTTTCTTTGAGGTGAGGCGTTTTCGTTGTTTACTTGCTCCACGGCCAAGTTGCCTTTAAACTGCCTTGTCCTACAGAGTGGTGAGTGAGGACTTGAGAACAATGCTGTACCTCTCTTACGACTGCTGCATTAAAAAAAAAAAAAGATGTATTTATTTATTTATGCATATGAGAACTGGGTACAGGCCAGAAGTGTGTGTGTGGGGAGGGGGTGGGGGGGTGAGACGATTCACCAGAGACAGAGTGGGGAACAGAACAGGCAGACTGACTGAAATACACTGCTGAGGGGAGCAGCGGGAGAGTCAGGCGAGGTCTGCTGCGCCAAGTGGGTTGCTTCCTGGCCGGGGATCGAATTCGTGCTGCAGACGCTGCGGACAGCTTCATAGGTTGCGTCTTAACTCGTTTCCGCCACCAGGGAGGCCCTGGACTACTGCATTTTTAAACCTTTGGCCCTCAGAAATATTTTTTATTTACACTGAAGCTTGTTGCTCCATCTAAGTCTTTGGTAGAAATTTTGACCTGCAAAGGGGAATGTTACTGTATCAAATTAGGACAGATAATCTGCTTCAGATACTGCTTCCTTGATTTGAAAAGAAGTACATTTTATTATTATGCTATATTTAGTATCTGATACTTTCTGCTAGAGGCTAAATCAGAGGTTCTCAAAGTGTGGTCCAGGAACCCCTAGGTTCCTGACACTTCCAGCTCAAAATTATTCTCATAATAATATGCTGATGTTATTTGCCTTTTCCACACCTTTTCTCATAACTGTACAGTGGAATTTTCAAGAGGTTACATGACCTGTAATGTTGAATGCAGAAGCAGATAGGAGAGTTGACTTTCTTATTTGAAGCTAGACATTAAAGATATTTGTGAAAATATAAAGTGTCACTGTCTTTTGCTTTTGAAAGTATTTTTTATAAGGGATACATAATTTATGTTAAAATTTATTGCATTTATTTTCAAATAAAAATTTCTCACATACTAAATATTGATACATGTGATTCCATAAAAGTTCTTTGGGGTCTTTGAGAAAATTTTTAAAGCATATAGTCATGTAACTACTACTGTAATCATATAGAACAGTTTCACCCCCCAGCCCTGTTTCTCTCTTTCCCCTCTTTTTGGAAGCCTTCCCCCCGCCCCAACCTTTCATCTGTTCACTAATTCTTAGGTGTACACTGGGGTCCTGAAACTAAAAAAATTGACAACCACTCAGTTGATTGCTAATTTTTTCTTTTACTGCGTTACATGTGGTGTAAAAAATATTTTATATTTCAGTACCAGTAACTTGTAAAATAAATAAAAACGATAGAATCCAGAGAAAAGGGTATACCTGTTTACACTTTTACCAGAAGTGTGTTAGACTTTCTCTGCCCTTCCACAGAATTGGCTGTAATCACTTAAATATCTTGTCATTCTAATAATCAGAAAACAGTTTTTATTTGCATCTGTCATGGTTACTAAAGAGTCTGTGCTTCTTAAGTGTGTTGGCCATTTATATTTATACTTCCAGTTCTGTAAGTCAATTGAGTTGGTCATATTGTTTTTCCTATATTAAAATGTGATTTAATACATTTTAAAAAATCGTAAATCATCCTTACATCCTTGGAATAAAATTTCCTTGATTGAAGTATTATTTTAATTCATTAGGGATTTTGATTTGCTAATACTTTATTTTTTTTACTTAATTGGCAACTTTTCTTTGTGCTCCAGGGACAGATTCTCTAGAATTCATATCTGTAGTACACTAAAACTACATTCAGGGGCCTTCCTGGTGGCCTAGGAGTTAAGTCTCAGCGCAATCACCCCTTTGACCTGAGTTCTTTCCTGCCAATGAAATGGCACAGCAGATCTCTCTGTCTAGCTGGTTGTGCTCCTTAGCACTGTATTTCAATAAGTCCGCCTGTTCTGCTCCCCACTCTCTCTCTGGTGAATCCTCTTACCCCATGTACCTCTAGCCTCCACTACTTCTTCGCAAAAAAAAAAAAAAAAAGAACAAGACAAAAACAAAACTGCATTTAGAGAATTAAATCAGAAACAGCCCACCTCTTTTTTTCTGCTGTTAATCCATTCTTCAAATAAATGGATGGTTTACCACCTACTAGGTAGTAGTAATTATGCTTTTATGCATATTCTCATTTCAGTCCATAGAAGTTATTTTTTATTTCCATTTTTCAAGGTTTAAGGCAGAGATTAGAGGCCCTTGCAAGTGATTACAAAACTCGTATGCAATCACAGTTGCCACTCTGACTTGTGACAATACTAAGGGAAATTAGTGCTAATAAACGCATGTGAAACTTAAACTCATGAAACACTTCACATGTATTTTTTGTAACACCAAATATGTTTATAGAACCCCTGCTTTATAACCAAAATCTCTTAGTGTCTCAAGGGGTTACCATCCTATAATGGAGCTGATGTTAGTGGACAAAATCTAGAATGTGATATGTCTTAAGAGGATAGAATAAAATAATGTGAAACTTGAGGGAAAAGAAAGTTCATTGACTTATTTGGAAATGAATATCACATGGGTGAAAAATTTGTCCAAAAGCATTTAGTAAATTTAATTTATCAGAAGTAATCAGTAACCTTGGAATGTATTTTCATAGTTACTGCTCTGATGGGTCTGTTACAGCTCTCAGAGCTCTCTAGAAGTTTCACCCTACAGGAAAAGAGTGTGATTGAATGGCAAAAGTAGAAAGGAAAGGGTAATTTTCCTTTTACTTCTCGAATACAGTAGTTTCCACTTATCCACTGGAGATATGTTCCAAGACCCCCAGTGGATGCCTGAAACCTTGGTACTACTAAACCCTTATAGTGTATACTGTTTTTTCCTATATATACACGACTGTGATAAAGTTTAACTTGTGAATTAGGCACAGGAAGAGGGTAACGAAAATTAGTGATAAAATATAATGATTATTATAATAAACTAATAAAGGTTAAGTGAATGTAGTTTCTCTCAAAACTGTACTGGACATCGTATTTTTGGACCATGGTTAATATGGGTATCTGAATCTGTGGAAAGCGAAACTCGGTAAGGGGAAGACTCCTGCAATAGTGATAGCTAGTACATATATTAGAGTAATCCACAAGTATTTGATAAATGTTTTCCATTAATTTATCTGTGTCTAGTACCTTTTCTTTGTATGGATCTTTGTGTTGTATCCTGTGCCACCCCCGTGGATATTGTATGTTCAGGTTTCTACTTGTTCTTAAAGGAATTTTGCTAATTTATAGTTTCTTAGAAAAGTGTCCTTTTCAATTACATATGCACATTTGTTAATGTTTTCCCTATACAATTAAAACCCTCTCTAACTAAAATTATTTCCTTTTCCTGCCTGAACTTACATATTATTTTCATTCCCTCTCACAATCCTTTCTCAGACTTGTTGACAGTGGTGCTTTTTTTTTTTTTTTGTGGGACCCTCGCTAGTGGGGGCCTGGGAACGAACCAGCTGCAGAGGCTGCAGGCAGCCTCGAAGCCCAGCGCTCGACTGCTGCCACCAGGGGAGGCCCGACAGTGGTATTTTATTGACTTTTGCTGTGAACAGCTTTAGGTTGTCTATTGATGACCCTTTTCTATCTCCCTATTTTAGTTACTATTTAGTTCCTACTTTTATAAATTCTGCTAGTTTCTGTTATTATTTTTGTACTTTTTCCTCTGATAATCTCAAACATAAAGAAAAATGGCCAGAATAAGTCAAGAAACTCTTACATACTTTATCCAAATTCACCAGCTACTTACATTTTGCTGTGTTTATTTTATTTTCCAATTTTTTAGTATTTTATTTTATGTAATTCTTACATCATTTTTCATTTTTGCACAATGTATGCATTTTCATTTTGGTTATAGTCCCCACAATTGCACCACCCCTTATTTTGACCCTAGTCCTTCCTCCCTCCCCCCACCCCGTAGTGTGTCTCTGGTTTATAGTTGCTTGTTGATTTTAATTTTTACTTTGTATTAGTCTTTTTCCTGGTCCCTTATTTAGGTTTTCTAGATTCCTGCTATGAGTGAGACCATCGGGTATTTTTTTATTGAGATCTAATTCACACATTTCTATATATTTAAAATATACAGGGGATAATGTGTTTGTGTATAATGGAATGATGACCACAGTGAAATTAGTTAGCACATACATCACTTCACATAGTAACCTTTTTTTTTTTTAAAGATTTATTTATTTATACATACAAGAACTAGGGTACAGGCCAGAGGTGCCGGGGATGAGAGGATTCACCGGAGACAGAGTGGGGAACAGAACAGGCAGATTGACTGAAATACACTGCTGAGGAGAGCAGAGGGTGAGATAGGAGAGGTTTGCTGCACCACACAGGTCGCCTCCCTGGTTGGGATTGAACTGGTGCTGTAGTGGCTTTGGGTAGCTTCGAAGTGCTGCGTCTTAACTCTTTGTGCCACCAGGGAGGCCCCTCATATAGTAATCTTTTTTTGGTTGATTGATATGACAACACTTAGCAAATTTCAAGTATGTAATACTATAGTCACTGCTCTACATTAAATACCCAGAATTTATTCATCTTATAAGTGGTAATTTGTATATGAGTATTTTCTTTCTGGATATTTTTATTTATGGATATCATTTTTCCAGAACCACTTGAATATAAGTTGGAGGCATTTTGTCTAATTATGTCAAATTCTTGAGTGTTTATTTTAAGAACCACAGTACGGTTGTCAAAATCAGAAAGTTTAATGGTATCTAGGCCACAATTCATATTTAGATTTCATCAGTTATCTAAAAAGGTCCTTTATAAATATTCTTTCCCGTGCTGTTAAATGTTCTAGCATTTGCATTTCATTTAATTTTTGTCTCTTTAGTGTCATTTAGTTTGCAGTATTTCATTAGTACTTTTTGTGTTTCTTGATCTTGATGTTGTTAAAATATAGCCCAGAGTTTTTGTAGCTGTTGTTTTATTTTTTCCAGAGTAACACTCAGTTTGGGTGTGTCTGATTTGATTAATTCAGTTGATAAATTTTTGGTAAGAAATATTACAGACATGATGTTGTGTTTTCAGTGCATCATAGCAAGTCCCCCCAATATTTGTTTACAGTGATGTTTGCAAAGTTTCTCCACTCTGTAATAATTATTTTCTGCTACAATTAATAAGTAACTTGTTAGGAGACATTTTGAAATGATATATATCTTTCCCTCATCATCCTTTCACCTCTTGGCTTATTTTGTCATTCTGTTTTTAACCTGTCTTGTTGAAAGCTTAGTTTATTTTTTCACTTTTTTATCTTCTAAAGTACTTAAGGGTATAATTTTTTAATATATCACTTTGACATATTGACTGGGAGTACTTACAGTAGGGTTGGGAATGAAAGAAGACAGTAGATGGGAGATAGTTAATAATAAGCTTCTGCCAGGAAACTAGCAATAGGGCCTGAATAGAGTTTTGTGTGTTTTTCAAAAATATTTATTTATTTATTTATTTATACAAGAACCAGGGTACAGTCAGAGGCGCGGGAGGGTAAGATGATTCACCAGAGACAGAGTGGGGAACAGAACAGGCAGACTGAAGAAATACTGCTGAGGGGAGCAGTGGGAGAGGTCCACGTGCCAGGTGGGGTTCTCCCCGGCCGGTCGGGATCTAACCAGTGCTGCAGAGGCTGCAGATAGCCCCACAGTGTGGCACTTAACTACCTGCGCCACCAGGGAGGCCCCCCTTTTTATTATAATGTTTATCGAGGTAGTGTTGGTTTACAACACTATGTTTTAGGGTTATAGATTCACATTGTAGCAAATGTATCTTATCACACCATGCCTGCTACTATCAAAACCCCAATAATCCTCCACTGTAGTCCATTGTGCCCCTTATCCCCTTTGCTCCCACTCCCTTATCTTCTTGTAACCTTATTTCTTCAGGCAGATTTCAAAGGTTTGTTTTGGTTCCTTTGCTTTATTTTGTTATGTTCCACACATGAGTGAAATCATGAGATGTTTGTCTTTCTTCTTCCGAGTTCACTAGCATTATCTCGTTAAGTTCCAGCCATATTGTTGCATATGGCACGATTTCACCATTTTCTATAGCTGAGTAGTAGTCCATTGTGTGTGTATATATATATATCAGTAATTACATCTTCCTAATCCACTCATCTGTCTTTGTGCACTTAGGTTTGGTTGCTTCCATAGCTTGGCTGTTGTAAATAGTGCTGTAGTGAACATAGGAGTGCTTCTATCCTTTCAATTTAGTGTTTTCTATTCTTTGGGTAAGTAGGTACCTAAGGGAGGATTGCTGGATCAGATGGTAGATCTATTTATAATGTTTGGAGAAATGTGACAAAGTATTTTAAAGGTACCCACATTACTCATGTCTTAAAATTAACTCAGTGTTGCCTTAAAGACCAAAAGATATGGTTTATGATAATCATGACTGCCACATCTATGAGTAACATTAAGTTCTTGATTATTATGTAATTAAGAGGTATTTTTCTTTATTATCACTGCTATCTTGGGACTTCTTAATATACGACTCACTCAGACCACATTTTTGCTTTACCATTTTAGGAGCAACAGCTGTGGCATGGAAGAATCCTCTATCAAGCTGGTTTACTGCTATGCTCCACTGCTTTGGTGGAGGAATATTATCCTGTATACTGCTTGCAGAGCCTCCATTGAGGTTTCTTGCAAACAACACTAATATATTATTAGCCTCTTCAATCTGGTAAGCTGCTGTTATGTTGAATTATGTAACATTTAAAAAATTGTTTTGTAAGTTACTAGTAAATGGAATTTTTCATTAAAAATATTTTATATTCATTTACATTCAAGGAAAGGAACCCAAGTAATCCAAAGGTTTTAAGTGCAAAGTATGTCTCTTTCTTACTCTTTTCCCTTCCCTCCTCATAGGCAAAGATTGTTACTGTTGTCTTATGTATCCTTGGTAGAAACATTTCACATATGAAAGGGCATCAAATATTTGTGTACCTAATACCCCCTCCCCCAAATATACAACAGGATAAAATAAAAAATGTGATCAACTACACAAATATGTCCAGATTATTTTTCATATGTAGTAATCTTCCTTGTTATAGTCTTTGTTGAATTTTTTAGTGCCTGTGAGATTTAACGTTAATTTTGTATTGAATTTAGTTTTGAAATAAAGAAAAAAATGTTAGAAGTTGTTTTGGATTCTTGTAAGTCAAAATTCAATTTTCTCTAAAGGGGTTGATACATCAAGTTAAAATAATACAAATCAGAATGCTATATCTAAAACAAAGCTATACCTTTGATTAAAAACCTTATCAATTAAATATATAAAGTCCATTTTTATTATAATCTGTCATATTAATAACAGTGGCAATGGGATAAATAGTGAGAGTGGTATTTGAGTTGTAACCATATGTCATCTAAAATCTTTATAATCATTTTTATATTTAATCACAAAAGAACCATGTGGTAGCTATGAAAAAACTAAGGCATTGAGAAAACGTGCTAAAATTTTCAAATTTGGTAAATGATTAATTTAGAATCAAAATTAGAAATTTGAATTTAGAGCCTTGATGGTTAATAGGCATTGTCTCTCAATTTAAGAATAATGGATATTCCAGGAGGGAAAGAGAGATGGGAACAGAGAACTTATTCAAAGAAATAATAGAGGAAAACTTCCATACCTGGAGAAGGAACTAAATATACAAATCCGTGAAGTTAAGAACACTGGTTACCTAAGTGTAATGAGACCTACACCAGGACACATGGGGGTAAAACGTCTACGAGTTCAAGACAAAGAATATTGAAACTGGCTAGGGAGAAGAATCAAAGAGCCTATAAAGATAGCCCCATCTCACTACATCTGACTTCTCCAAGGAGACATTACAGGCAAGGAGAGATGGAATGATATAGCCAAAATACTCAAAGATAAAAATTGTTAGCCAAGAACGCTATTCTGCAAGACTCTCCTTCACATTTGAGGAGGAAGTAAAGGCCTTCTCAAACACAAGCTGAAAGAGTTTAGAAGCACTAGACTGTCTCTCCAAGAATTGTTAAAAGGAGTTCTTGTATTTAAGTTGAAAATGGAACAAAAAAATAGGTAGAACCAGAAAACTAAAGATAAAATGGCAGTAGCAGATACTTATAGAAATAATTACTTTAAATGTAAATGGACTAAACTCACCAATCAAAGGTACAGAATGATTTGTTGGATTGGAAAACAAAATCCAACTATCTGTCATCTTTAGGAACTATACCTGAGCTCCAAAGATAAACATAGGCTCAAAGTAAAGGATTGAAAAACAGTCCAAGTAAAGGGGACCCAAGAAAGGCAGAGACAGCCACACTTATGTCAGATAAAACAGATTTCCAGCTATAACGCTAACAAGAAATGGGGTTGGACACTATATAATGATTAAGGGAACACTCTGTCAGGAAAATGAACACTCATCAATATATATTCGCCAAACAAAGCAACAAAAATCAGTTGCATCATCAGGAACATCAGGGAGTGACTATACTGCTAAATCATAAATAGTGTTGTAAACCAATGTTCCATCAATAAAAAAATAATTAAAAAAAATACAGCTTTGCCATCTAATTAAGAAATTCCTACTGTGTGTCCCATACCATACACAACCACCTTCCTATATTAAATAATCATTACAGTAACACCATGATCCTGACTTTTATGGTAATCAACTTTCTTGCTTATTTTTATAATTTTGTTATTCAAATATTCATCCCTAGACACTATATTTTAGTTGTAAACCATTATAAAATTTTATGTCTCTTAAGTCTCTTTTAAAAATTTTATAGATTCACCTTCCCTCCCTTCCTTTATTTTCCCTTCCAATTTATCTCAAAAGACCAGAGCCATTTGACCTTTCCATAGTCTGGAATTTGTTGATCACATACTTATGGTATAGATCATTATTTATCTCTGAAATTGGCATATTGAATCAAAATATACTCAGATTTAGCATGATCATAACTTTTATTGACTGTATTAACTAATTAAGAATTGTACAATGGTAATAGTCTTTTATTTTATATTAGTTGGAATAGTATTATAAAGAGATATTTTCCACTAATTCATTATTTGATTATCCAGTTACACAGTTTATAGGAAAGGCAGGATTCTTTCCCTCTGCTTACCATGAATTCGTTCTTTGTTATACTCAGAGGTGACCAGGTTTTTTTAAAAAAAATAAACTCATGGATTTTAGTATATTTCATTTAATTGCCTTTAAAATTTTTTTAATTTATATCTTTTACATCATGTGTATTTCCCGTAAAATTCCCACCACCAGTTCACCCACGAACCATCAGCAGCATCCCTTGTCTTCTCTCTCATTTTGAATCCCTTTTCCTCCCCCTCCTTCGCAGAATGTATCTTATTTATGGTTGCCTGCTAGTTTTGTTGTTTTATTATTGTTATTTTTTTCCTGATCCCTTATTTGTTTCCCCTATTTTCCTCCTATAAGTGAAGCCATTCAATATTTTTCTGTTTCCTTCTGGCTTATTTCACTGAGCATGATCCCTTCTAGCTCTGTCCATGTTGCTGCGAATGGCATGAGTTTATCTTTTTTGATTGCTGAATAGTATTATTATTTTTTTTTTTTTAAAGAGGCACGTATTTTTATTTATTTATTTATTTGTTTGTTTGTTTGTTTGTTTATACATGCACTGGGTACAGTCAGAAGCGCGGGAGGGTGAGAGAATTCACCAGAGCCAGAGCGGGGAGCAGAGCAGGCAGAAGGACCGAAGTACACTGCTGAGCGGGGCAGCGGGCGGCAAGAGAGGTCTACGCGCCATGTGGGACCCTCCTCCGGTGGCCGGGGAGCAGCCAGGGATCGAACCGGCGCCGCAGAGGCCGCGCAGAGCTTCGCAACCCAGCGCTCAACCGCTGTGCCACCGGGGAGGCCCTGAATAGTATTATTGAAGCTCAGATTGTTCCTTCTTTGGCTGGTAGCAACATCTTCAGAATGATCCTGAGACTTTGATGAGCGAGCTTCCTTGTTACTTTTCCTTGCTACTCATATTATATTTTTCTGAAATCACTCTTCTCTAAGAAGCTCTGATTTCTTTTAGTGGGAAATAGTATTTCAAGACCACAATCTGAGCACTAGAGATGTTCATTATTACTGGATTGATTTTTGTTTCTAGGCATTTCTTTGGACAGAGGCATTTTCAGTAGGAAAAATCAGAATAAAATAACTCATACGTTCGTATTGATATTTCTAATACAAAATCAAGATTATAGAGCTTTTAATATTTCTGTTACATCTGTTATGTCCTTCTGCTTTAAGAATTTGGATTCTTAACACTAGACAATATTACTCATTTATTTTGTTCTGTATTACGCATACAGTATACAATAATTATGGAGTAACAGTGCTAAGCACTTACTAACATGATTATTGAAAACAATTTTTTTGCATATGTACTTTTCATTTTCTTTCCATTTAAAAAATATACTTAGTATTCTACTCAGTCATGGTGAAAGCTATTACATACTGTACTATTCCCTCCTTAGTCCTTTTTCAGTCCTAGTTTTATAGCTAACTATATTTAGTGCTTATCAACAGTTCTTTTGAATGTGCCTCTCTAGTTATTTTGTTTAAAGCTTTTTCTCATAGATTCATCAAGAACAGTATTTCCTTAATTCTCACATGTTGATAAGTTTGTGTCCTTTGTACTTGAAAGTAATTTTTACTGGACATAAAGTCATTGGACTGAACTATCATTGAGCATTTTAAATGTGCTACTCCATTTTCTTGTGTCATAAAACATTGGTGTGAAAAAATTTATGATCATTTAATCTTCTTTCCCTTTTAAGTCACATGTTCTTTTTTCCTAGATTCCCCCAAGTTTTTTTCCATTAAAGTCTAATAATTTAAATAAAATGTCTCTATGTTGGTAAATTTGCATCCTTTCTTGGGCAGATGGCATATTCTTTTTGGTAGCTACACATTTATTTCATAATTGATAAAGTTATTTTAGTATTTGTACTCTTCCCTTGCTTTGGTTTTCTTCAGGACCTCCTGTTAGTGGATCTTTGCCTTTCTTCAGTGATCTTTTTTTTTTTAAATCTATTTCTTTTTAAATTTGAAATGTTTTCCCCTTTCATGTTCTATTTTATTTTTTGAAAGCACTGTTATTTCTGTTTTCCTTTTAGTTTAGTCTTCATTGCTGAAATGATATTTTTTTCTTGCTGATAATTTATCTTCTGTTTTCAGTTGGTTTAATTCTGATGTATGTTGTTCTGTTCTATCATTTCTTAATATCTTTAGCATGTCTTGAAATAGTAGGCTTCAGTTTCAATCTGTTATGTGGACATATTTTCCTAAGTGCTTTCCTTGTAGAGATTTATTTTGCATTTTTTTCTTATAATAAATTCGTATGGCATTAGATAATGATACTTTTTGCTGGTCATTTTTCTGTAGAATCAGGTTTCATGGACTTTGAGTATAAGCAGAAACTCAAGGAAGATTTTCTAACTTCATAGAGCTCTTCTGCTGTTCTTATGTAGTGTTCAAAAGATGATGACCTGTTCTCTGAGGTTTCCTTGTTTTCCTCCCTTTTCCAATTTGGTCGGGACCTTCCTTTTGTTGCTCTGTCTTGCTCAGTTTTGGTTCTATACAAGCAGTTTTTTCTTGTTGTGGGACTTGTTTTAGAAGAATGTATAGATGGAAAAGTTTTGAAAGTTAATATGAAATAAATTGCTCCCAA